TACTGCCGCATCGAGGCTGCCCGCGCCTTGCTCCGCCTGCGCCTTGTCTGCAGGCGCTGGCGCGACGCCATCCAGTCAGATCAAGTCGCACGCTTCGCCTTTGGCCCCTGCGAGATCCTCGGTGAGCGCGACCCGTCGCCCACATCGGCTGCCACCCGGTCGTACGCCTCGGACCTGGCTGACTCTGACAGTCCGGTCGCCGCCTGGCACAGCAAGCTGGACTCAGAACCTCTGGCCGACCTCTGGGAATGGCATGTAGACGATATCAGCCCCGACCCGCTGGCCCCGCTGCAGAGAAAAAGTGTTTACCGCACCCCCGCCGTACGTCACTGGCGCTGCGGTCGCGTCACGAGCGGCGTCAGGGACGAGTTCGTCGTCGCCACCGCCACCAACCGCAGTGGCAGTGGTGTCCTGCGGCACGTCGGCGACTGCGCTCCGCCGGGGGGATGGTTTTCGATGCTCCAAGACGTGACGTTCCTCGCGTGGTGCCGCGCAAAGATGGGCGGGAACCTGCTGGACGACGGCGAGTACGCGTACTGGGAGCCAAGAGCAGCGATGCCCGTCATGTTTTCTAACCAGTGCGGCGTCGTTCTGGAGCGGCTTCGACGAGTGGCGGTCGCGGAGCACCCAGACGACGTATTTGACCGCGAGGTGTTTGATCTCGCGACGGCCGCTGCGTATGTCAAACAGTATCCGTTGAAGTTGGAGCGATTGCAAAGCCTCCCGGCGCTCTTTGACGCAGAGCCGATGTGCAGGTTGGAAGGAAGTCGGCAGTACCGAAACCTCTATTCTCCAGCATCAAAGCTGTGTTTCAACAGCTGCTCTTTTTGCAAGGGCCCTCTTGCCGACTCATACTTTGATTGGAACTTGGAAAACAGGGACATTCCTCAAAAAGTCCGTGCCGCGTGGTTTGAGCAGCTCCGAGAAGGCGGGGAAACTGCTGAGGTTTATGACGGCAGATGGTTGTTGCAAAGGCTGGTGCGGCACTGCACTGTGCGCTCTGCGCAGCCTCCGCTTCTATTTGCGGTCTGGGACGAGTCAGATCTGAACCATTTCCCTCATCACGCTTACGCTTTGGTTGTGGATCGCAAAACAGGCAGGCTTATGGGTTCATTTACCTGGTTTCGACTGCATTGGTGATTTTTAGACCTGTCTTATACAAAAAAATATCCACCGGTGATTGACGCTCCTTCCAATGGTGCAAAGCGCGCCTGTCCCAGTACGGATTTTTCAATCGACCAGGGGCGGGCCGCACTGAGCGAGTGCGTTTTAATCTGAAACACAGGAAGGCGGACACAAAATGATTGAAAGCAAACCTTGTTTTGCTTTCATGTGTACCTTTGCAGAAGTCGATTCTCAATGGTGTTATGGACCACCTGCGACGGATTCAAAAGCTTCCTAGAATGAACACAGAGGCACTGCGGTAGAGGGGCACTGCGATCGGCTTTCAAACAAAAGCACCAACCCAGCGCAGTCGCGAAGAACTTATAAAGTGAGACGCTGCAACAGGAACAAGATTTCAATCCGGGATGGAACGACAGCTTGAGGGCCAACACGACGACAGCGGCAGGAACCACAGTAAAGGCGACAGTAGTGGCGACAGCAGTGGCGACAGCATCGCACCAGTCGGCGGATGCGCGGGTCTCGGCAGTGGTGGCGGTGTTGCAATTGGCGTTGCTTGAGCAGGCCCAGAGGCGTCGCCGTCGCCGTGGTGGTCGTCGTCCGCTGCGCTGAGAACGGTCCCCCACGCAATCACCCACCACCGCGCGACTGCCCCGTTAGTGTTGTCCCCCTGCGCCTCGCTGGAGTCAGCAGAGGGATGGCAACCGCGTCGACGAGAATCGAGGCAGCGGGCGGAATCTGACATCATGCGGCGGAGGATGAACGCGGCGCCGGCCTTGTGCAAAAAAAACTCACTCGTTTCCATGGCCTGCAGCTTGTTCTCACCAGTGTCGTCGTCCTCTTGTCCTTGGCCCTCGCAAAGCGCAAGGTTGCTCGATGCTGGGTTCGCGCTGCGTCGCGCTGTATGCCGCGAAGATGTACAGGACAACATGATGACCTGCTGGCGTTGGCTGTTGTGGAGTGCTGAGCTGATCGAAAGCTAGGTTGCGGAAATTAGGGTCTCCAACCCCAATTGGGTGCCATAGTGATTCAAGTGACACTCGGCTTGCCTTTGCTGGGTTCGAAGCTCTGTACTTCTTTGCCATCTCCAGTCGAAGAATGCCCAGATCCATGAACGGGTTCCTCCAAGACGCCGCTTCCAGCGTTCTGACTGGGAAGCTGCGAATCATGGGCTCAGTGCGCGAAACTGGGCGCGCTGCAAGAAGAAAGACTTTTTGGCAGTTGCATGGTGGTGCAATTCGCTCTACATGCTGGCTGAACCGCTGTGCCTGTCGCCGCACATCACAAAGGACACCTGTTGGCAGTGCAACAAGACTGGCGATCCTCTTCTTATTGACGAGCTGCGCTGCTTCCACAGAGATCCGGTGCAGCGGTGCATGGCCAAAGCACTACCCATTTTCACCCAGGCAAAGCAAGTAACACGCACTTGGGTCGTTAGGAAGGTTGGCTGTGCCATAACCAGTGGACGTGCTGCGGTAGCTCAGTGTGAGACTACACCGAGGTCTCAGTGATGGTGTCTAGGGATTTTATTCGCAAAAACAAGCGTACCTGTCATAAAAACAGAAGGATCGTGACCCCTATTGTTATTCCTGGTTCTTTAGTTTCCAAGGTGTTATCAAAGTGTATTTGCAGATAACCTGTCTTTCCTATTGGGCCTTCTTTTACTACTTTCGTCTTAAAAGTTTCCGTTGCGCCAGGGTTTTCTTTTTTGGTGACTAATGGAGACAGCCCAACTGCCCAGGGATGGGGTGCCTGACAGGCAGTACCCCAAGCCCGCCAAATTTATACCCTGCCGTAAGGCCTACAGCAGGAGCTACAAGAGATTTCAATAAGGGGGGTCTAAAAGTCAAACTGTACTACCTGCCTTCCCGTTTTGTCCTTTCTTGTGCGACAAGTCACCCCCAACTGCACAACACATTGGTCTAATTTTGTTGCCTGAGCTGTCCAACACTCCCTCTAGCACAACACCAAAACTTCGATTTTCAGTCTGAAATTCAGCACACAGTCTCTCTTCAACAGTGCCAACCTGCCATTCCGATTTCAGAATTTTTTCGCCCATCAATCGGCTTGCAACAAGCATTGTGTGCAACACACATCTTCTATCCTGGACTCCTAAATACACTATTTGTCACTGCTGCACTGTCAAGCAACTCCTCCAAATTTTCCAGCTACTGGTTTCTCCAGCAACAGGATCATCACTATGCGCAACGCAATGTTGTTCAACCTAAACTCTTTCGTCGGCATGTTCACTGGCAAGACACTGACAGAATTCAACTACTTTGCTGCACAGGCCATTCTTTGGACATGCCACTATAACCTGCCAGCTTATGCGGACAACCAATAATAATAATAAATAATAATAAATAATAATAAATACAGCCGAGTCCAAGCCAAATGCCTGTGTAATGCGCTTTGAGACAGGTGGATAATCCTCACAATTATCAGTGAAAAAGTGGTTATACACTCTTTTATTTGAGTTCACAGGCCTGACGGCCTGTAATCCTCACAGAGATGTTTCACTGTGAGAACCAGACCAACAAGGACTCACTTGCAAAGCGTGTTGTCGCCTCGTTTGCCCAAGTAGTACAGACAGTGTTTGTCTTGGCTGTGTGCCTTTTCTTTGGATGGTCTCTGCCGGACAGGTCCCTTGGCCCATCCTCTCAGCTGTGCTGCCCATGCTGGACAGCTGGGGGACAGCTGGGGAATGCTTTGCCTCTGGAAATATCCAGCTGATTTGAGCCTTGGCCATTTGGGAAGGAAATTGGGTTCAATTTCAATCCCCCAAATGAAGTTTCCGATGCCTCTCCATACAAGGAGCAGATACAGATTTGGCATTATTCAGCTGGGGATGCCAAGAAACCTGTCAGGAACAGGGTAGAACAGGGCAAGGCACACAAGGAACTGAGAGGAGTGACAATTGTATTGTAAACAATATTTCACTTGAGGGATGGGACAGGTCCCCCATCCCCCCTTTCACACATTTCAAGAGTCTTCCTTGTCAAGACTCAAAGAAAATTTCAGAAAGAACAATTAATAATACAATGATGCCAATGATACCAACAAGACAAGTCAGAAAGGCAAAGAAGGCTCCCATTGACGCTCTCAGCTTGACAGCTAAATTTGAAGAAAGTTGCAACGGAAAAGGCGATTTTCCACAACAGTCAAGATACTATCGTGGCCTGTGTAGCAAAGTGGTATTGCGTTCCCCTCCTAAGGGAGAGATCGTGGGTTCAGTCCCCACCATGGGCTTGCCCCTGTTGGAGCCATACTGTTTTTGTGGTGGATAGTGTTTTCCTCTCTCCCACTCCAAAAAAGCAAGAAATCCAACTGGGCAGTGTTGAGCTTGACTCTTGAGACTGTTCAACAGTGTTGCTTTCTTGGTTAGCTTTTGGAGCTGTGGCAATCATGGTGCTCCAAGGTGGTCAGATGGGACCTTGGGGGGGTTTTGTTTGTTTATATTTTATTTATTTTTTTTTTTTTGGATTGGATCAAATTTTGAATTTTCATCCAGCTGGCAGCAGGCACTTCTTGCCAAGCTCCTCGCCAAGCTCTTTGCCAACATCAAAGCTCTGCACTCCACACTAGCCTGAGCCTTCAACGCCAACACAGTAGTGGCTGCATGCAGCGTGCTTAAACAGCATGTGGTGCATATCTAAAAGTTGTTCATCTTACCTCAAGCCATCGGCGCAGCCTGCAGCCAAGAACACCATCTCTGATGGCTGGGATTGGGATTTTATTGATTGAGAAGATTAAAGTGGTTGGGCCTGTTGGCCTGGCTCTACTGGCAAGCACCTATTCCCCAAAGCTCTGTGAGCTACCCATGATCCCATCAAAACATGTGAACGCTGAAAAACCTGTGCCGCCACAAAGAAGCTGAATGCTACATGGTGGAATTGAACCACGGTTTGCTCAGCCTCAATGAGGCGCTCTAGCCACTATACAATTGTAGAGATCCTGTGTCTGGTAATTTGCCAAACAAAAGCATATGTCTGCTGATCTGACAGCGGCAAAGCATGGCATTTGTAACCCAATTATCAAGAGGTTGTCATGCCTTGTATGAGTAATTGGTGTCTGTCTTTCTGGAAGAGAGACTTGTTCACTGCCTGGCCCTGCCCACAGCAACTGATCAGCCACCACTTTTTCCAAAGCTGCTTTTCTTTGCACAGCTAGCAGAACAATCATATGGAGTGCCTTCTTAGCTCAGCTGGCAGAGCGTATCCCTCGTAGGAGGCTGCCATACCCCTGCAAGGATAAGGTCGTCGGTCCGATTCCGGCAGAAGGCACAAACTCACTTTGTGGAGTTTGGTTTTTTCATTTGATGACAGTCACCGAGCACATCGTGCCAAGCCAAGCGGAGCCAGAAGCAGCAACTTTGATCAGCAGAAGTCACTTTGGTGCTTGTCATTTGCGGCAGTCTGCGATCAGCATGAGCATTCAATGTGATGTCGTGGGCAAAGCTGCAAAAGGTAGTCTGCAGGGCAGTACATCTCGAGTGCAGGCTAATTGGCACGCCAGGTCTCAGGAGACGGGCAGAGACATGAGATCACTTGGGCTCTGCACTGGGAGATCCGGTGGGGCGGTGGTGTTTGGGTGCTCGTGCTGCTACTCCAACTGCTGCTGCGGTGGCGGCGGCGCAGCGGCGCAGGGAACGTCGCATTTGGGTACTTGCAATTGGGGACACTCATCGTCGGATAGATGGGGGTGGGCATACAGCTCTAAATTATGGCAGGAGCGACAGGATGTACATATATATACATCTATCTGAGCAAGAACGCCTCAACACCTGCATAGGAGAGCAAGGACCTTGGCAGCTTCTATGCAGCGGCCTGGACAGGACCTGTCGTCGCCTGCACCCTCTCTCCTCACAGCGCCAACTGCTTCCCAAAAGAATTCAAACACGCCCAAATCGCCCCCATGAGCCAGCTCCACCCCAGCAGAGACCACCTCAAGCAGATGCCTGCTACCATTGCTGCTCTCACATGATGCGACCAGTACCTCGACCTTTGTGAGCCAGGCCACCCCACACAAGTGCGTCTTTGGCCACTGCAAGGCTTGGCACGGCGCAGGAAGCGTAGCTTTACCTGCAAGTCGTTGGACATCCCTCAAAGCGCTGGAACATGGCGGCTGTTTTGGCGTGGAAGCGAAAACCGCTGACCTGTGGTGGAGGAAGATGGCGAGCACCACGAGGATGAGATGGACCTGATGCAGCTGGTTGAGGTTCCTTACACATAGACTTGAGAGACTGTTGCGTCCTTAGAATCAAGGTGGTGGGTGGGAGTGGCACTGGCCTGTCGCTGTTGGGACCAGTTCAAGCTGACCTTGATGACAAACACAACCGACGCCATGCACAGTTGGCGAAACGAATCAGCACCTTTGCATAGCACGATGCAGGAGGTTGTCAAAAAAGGAAGGTGTGGCAATGCAGGTGTGCCAGAGAAAGAAATGGGTGGCGCAGCCACACCAACAAAGATCGCGTCAATTTCAACCATCGACAATCGCAAAATGATCTCCGACCCTGATTGTCCACCACTTCGTGCCAATCAGTCCCGCCTGTTCACTCCACAACAGTCAGAAGCACGCCCACGTCTCCTCGACAACATTCTCAAAGAGGTTCTGCGCCGCATACTCACGTTCGTTGCATCTGACGTCAAGTCCCTCGCCAGACTCTGCTGCGCATCGAGGCGTTGGTTGCTCCTTGCTGCTGACGACATGACCTGGCGTGCAATGTTCCTCGCCCACTGGGCCGCTCCTGTGTCGCTTGCAGAGTCGCCAAACATCCCTAACCGCAGCCAGATGATGTCCATTGTTGCAGCAGAATCCATTCGCAAGATTGACATCCGCAGTGGCTGTAGTGTTTTGGCTGCAGATCTCCTGTGGAAAACGCTTTTCGCGACTGCACTGCCCTCGGTAGGCTACCGTACGGACGGGAAAGCAGACTCAAGTTGGGCCACTTGCGCTGTATTCATGGAATCTGCATCGACGCATACTCCATTGTGACTGCAGCTAATGACGGCATCCAAATAAGGGATTGCGCCACTTGAAACTGCGTGCAGACCCAAGACACATCTGAAAGCGGAGCTTCCAGTGTTGCCTGACACAGGAGCGCAATTGTGGGTAGCACTTGTGACAGCGAGGTTAAAGTGTGGAACGCAATGGCTGACAAGCTTGAGGACACTCTCCAGGGGCTCAGTGATTTTGTTGATTTTGTTCACGTAAACAATGATCGCATTATTGGTACAACCGATGACTGTGTCAACGTGTGGTGCCGCTTATCAAGACCCATTCTCCAAACTAGTACAAAACACATGTACAGCAGTGTCTCATCGCTTTCCCCATTTCCGATGACACAGTCAATGTCCTCTCCCTGACTTCAGGTGAAATTGTTCATTCCCAGCAATTTGACAGCCAAATCCGGAGAATTCAGCTCCAAAACTCGATCTTGGCTGTGGTGTGTGTATGGGGTTGAGGCTTGGAACACCGGCAAGCGCTTGTTTGGCGAAGTTTGCCCCTGCCAGTTGGTCAACCTCAGCTTTCACAATGGCAACTTGCTGGTTAAAAGCAAAATTGGACGCACTGTGAGCATTGTGATTTGCGACCTGTCCAACGGCGGAAAAATATTGCATATAAAGTGGAGCTGAAGAGTTGCACGGTTGCAGAGTTGCGGCAGAGTAGCAGAGCTGCCAAGTTGTGGCAAAGTTGGTGTGTCGCAAAGCCGTGGGGTTGCCTGGCTGCAGATTTGCAGAGTTGCCAGTGGGGTTGAGATGCCAAGTTGCAGAGTCTGAGAGTCTGAAAGTCAGAGAGTAGCGTAGTCATGGTCCCCTGGAGTGCACTCCCTGAACTCTTTGCTCTGCTCTGCCACTCTGCTACTCTGCTGCAACTCTGCAACTCTGCAACTCTGCAACTCTACATTCAGTTGAAGAGTCATGACAAACACAAGATGAGGACAGTCTCTCCTGTAAACAGTCTACTCTGAGTGAGGGAGTGGAAGGAGTGAATAAAGTGGAGATGTGTGTTTGTGGGTGGGTCCTCCTCCCCAACTTGGAAAGAAGGAGAAAAAAAACTCTGCTATAAATAATTGATACATAATTATGATCTACATGCTGTAATAGTCGCTAGGGGGGCGTGACTGGTACAGGGTAAAAACCTCTCCTATATTATCTGCTTGAGTGGAGGAGGAAGAAACTGTTTACACTGGGTTTCTGTTCCACTTAAAACTCAGAGGATTTGTCAACAGTGCAAGCCAGCGCCCAGGTCTGCATTGGCAGTGGCTTGCTCTCCCCATGGGCATTGTGTGGAACAATAACTGACAGTCACAGTAGGTTCAGGTCTGTCTTGTGCCTCTTGCTGCTAACCAGTCAGTTTCACCTAACATCTCCAGGGTCAGTCTGACCTCTCCCAGTTAGTATAGGGGCTAGTATCACCCCCTGAAACAGGGTAGACCCAGGTTCAATTACTGGACTGGGAGCAGCAGCTGCTGCAGGATGCAGACTCATGCATGCTGGACACTCGCTGGGGTAGCGTGGAATAAAGCATCTGCCTATCATCTCAGTTTCCTGTAATGGCCCTGCCATGCACTTGTTTGAGCAAACCCCACCAAAGTCACAGAATGCCAACATGAACTGGCATATTTGAGGAGGTTCAAAGGACTGCGGTAAGTTGCACCCAACGAATGGAGACCCACCTGCAATACCTGCAATGGCCAACAACACTCAGCTCACGGTTTGCCTTTTGAAAAAATAGCCAAATTTGTACAAACTTGCAAACTAGGGAATGAAGTGTGTGCAACTGCTGGGATTCACAAGCAGTAGCACAACATGTGCAGCAAGGACAAAGTTCAGTTGCTGTTAGTTTTGGGTCTTTTGGTGTAAGCAGTGTGCAGGAGCTTTGACCTGTTACTGCTCTGCAAGGATGACTTGCGGCATTTTGCTGGTCCTTGTAACAGTTTTGTATAAAGACAAACACAAGACTGACAGAAGCCAAGATCAACCTCCCACCACCACCACCTTCAGTAGTGTACTCCACCCATCACCACTGCAGCCCAATCCATCAATCAGCGAACATAGCGAATTCTTTCAGTTGCCAGAGTAGACCAGAAGCAGATGGCTGCATGTCCATGGGCAGATGGCCAAGTCAGCCTAAGTCACCAGATTACAGCTCTGGTCTCCCCAGAGGCGTGGGTTTGCATCCCACTCTGCTCAGTTGCGCAATGCACATTTAGCCCAGCAGCTGCATTGCCTCCAATAAGTAGTACTGGCCTCTCCCACCTGAGGGATCTCTGACTGTTGGATTTTGCTGTAAACCCCCCTCTGCCAGACACTTAGATAGATTTGATTCAAGCATATCATGCACTGATGCACCCTTCCCATGGTTCCCAGTCTATGCCATCATCTCAAAACCAGGATAATTAGAGAACTGCTGCCAAGGCGGGAAGCATAACGCAGAACCTTGCTGATAAGTTTGGCAAATTTGGATCAGTACCCTTGACTTGCGCCTCACTGAAGTAGGCGGACATGTATGTTTTGTGTGTTTCTGGGTGTTCCTGTTCCTGAGCTTGAAGAGGTTGAAAATCCCTAGTATGAATAACTGAGACAGGGTTATAATGATGCCTTGCACACTGAAATGTCGCTAGGCGAGGGTGACTGGTGTGGGGGGAAACACCTCTCCTAAAATTATCTCTTGGGAGAGGAGGAGAACAAGTGGTTTCACTGGCTTTCCTTTCCACTTTACTCAGAAATATTTATCAACAGCACGAGCCAGCGCCTGGGTCTGCACCAGCAATGGCTCTCTCTCAGCAAGGGGATTGTGTAGAGTGATAACTGACAGTCACACTGGGATCAGGTCTGTCTTGTACCTCTTGCTACTAGCTGCACCTAACTTTAGGACTGTGGTTGGATGTCTCAGGACGCTTGGCTTCTGTTTGGCTGTCTCATGACACTGCAGTTCACTCCAG